TTTTTTTTTTTTCACTGAACAAAGCATTTGGATATATGTGGGTCTTTTGTCTTCTTTTCTCTGCCTTTGTTCTGAATTGTGTCATTCAGTGAAACATGACACAGAGTCAGATAATAGTTAAATATTAATCACAGTTTTGTTAAAGCATGGTTAAAGTTTTGTGAGCCTAGTATTCTAATCGCCACATTGACTGACTTACAAATACCAAGCAGTGATCAGCAGTATAACATGGAAACTCCCAGGGGTTTTAAGTACTATACTAGGCAATAATTAACTTATCACTACTATTAGCAGTATTACTGCAGCTTGCCATGGTAACCAGATAATCAGCTTTATTAAATGTTCCAAGTAATTAGATCTCAATGCCACCTGCTGTTACAGCATTTGGATTTATTTATTTATTTTTGTAGTTGTTAAGTTTTCGAAAATCAATACATAAATGTGAGTGAAGGGAAAAATGCGTTAAATACCTAACATTTCAAATCTCAAGGAATTGATTGATGTTGAGGTAATTCAGTAAGGGCCCCTTTACACTGGACGGCGTCCTTTCTGCGTCCAGCAGTCCGGTCCCATTTGAGAGTTAAAAAATTATAATATTATACATGTCGACAACTGGCCGATCATTGAGCATTCATTCTGATACAAAATTAATGCTCGTGCCTCCTTTTTAAGACCACAGCGATGCCAAATTTCATGGTCGCAGAAAGGACGCCGTCCAGTGTAAAGGGGGTATAAGGAAACACTGAAGAAAAAATTAGCTCATATAACTATACAGACATTTGAAATGCTGAAAAAATCAAAAGTCATTAGTTTAATCATGTACCAGATAACTCAAAATCAATTCTGACAATTATACATTTTCGCATAACAGCACTGAAAATCAGCATAGTAATGAAGGAAGTGAAATGGTGGCATTTGTAATTACAAGCCAGTTAAGAAAAGAATTGATTCTTGATTAAGTTTGCCTCATGAACTGCTGTGCAGTAATTACAGACTTAATTAAATCCTAATTGATAAGCAGTAGCACCTAAAAATTGAGAAGGCATAAAGCACACACATAATGGCTGAATAGTTTAGTTCTTCTCTCCATAATAAGTCCTATTTTCAAGTGAATGATATTTTACTTATTTATTTCTATACTTTATTGGAAGTACAATGTTTTTTGTTTTGGCTATGAGTATAATTGAATTATTATTTCTTTAAATTTGTTTTTGATATATTATTGTAAAAATAAGACATTACAGACTATAAAGTATTTAAGTTTTACATACATGAGGAATCACAAATGCTCATAAAGGATCAGTTGATTTGTTAGGTCAGTTTAAGATGTGTTTATTAAATATTGAATAATGAAAGGTTATCAAATTAAAAGAAAGAAACTGACAGCAGCATAAAAATATCTCAATTTTCACTCTTTTATGTTAGGTCTCTTGGGCATATTTGAACCAAATTTAAAATGCTGGAATGATATTTCCCATTGCTTAAGATTTTGCTGATGTTTGCCAATAAAGAAAAAAGAAAAGAAATACATATGCTGATTTTCACCCTGAGTGGTATGTGATGACATATCTCTAGTAGTGGGAGGGGTAGAACTGATTTCACACTAACAATGACGCCAATTCACTGACGTGTTAACGAAATGACAGTAAGCAGGAACCAGATTGGAGATAACTGGTCCACAGATACCAATTCAGTTATGTGTGAACAAAATGATATTATACAGGGACTACACAGGAGCTAAGTGGCCCATAGATATCATGTACTGACGTGATGAATGTATGATGTACAGGAGTGAATAACCCTGCGGGGTGCATGACCTACTTGTAAGATAATGTCAGGTTTGTTAAGTGAGGTCACTGGACTGTTTGCCTTTTGTGTCCCCTCCCCCTCTCCTCCCTCCACCCTTCATTCTCCCCCCACCCCCCTACTTGGTCTTGGCTGTGTTGTATAAATTCTAGCCTTACTGGGACAGTTTATTGTTTTGGACAGCAATGTGACAGACCAAGATCTTTTTTTTTTATGGATTATATTATAAAATTCCAATCAGTATTATTTATTTACTAGTAATGGTTCTTTTATTCATGATGCCACTGTCAGTGTCTTCTCATGTTGTTAAATACTCTCTGAAAACATGAGCTCAGAGAATATTTTTCAACTAGAATAGATACAGATTAAAAAAAGTTTTTTGAGAGATTTATATTCTCTCCTGTCCAAAATTATCTGATTAGTTCATTAATCAATTAACTGAAATTAACTAATTGATTAAGTGTATTTGAATTAGGGTCAAAAGAGATTTGTCTTATGATAAAGTCATAAGCTACAGAAATAATGATTACTAGTATTTGGATATATGTGATATTTTAAATATATATATTTTTATCTGTTTTCTATTTCAGAACACAAAGTGATCATTGTAGGCTTAGATAATGCTGGAAAGACAACAATACTCTATCAGTTGTAAGTATTTATTTTCTCTAACCCCCCCCCCCACACACACACACACACACACACACACACACTTCCCCTTCAACCTCCAGAAGGAAAATTTTGCCTTGTGTGGTATTGTTAATACTTTACATATACTAGTAGTCTGAACCATAAACATTTCAGCCCACTGGCTTCTCTGAGCACCCAAAGACTTGCTACACAAAAGAACATCAGGCTTAACATTGTTCTAAACAGTTAGCACCCCCCCCCCCTTCTCAACTCTTTGTGTATAACTGCAACTATTATTGATGTGGTTATGTGTGATTATGATATGATAATGGACCTGAAATATTTGAGTAATTTTGTATGAAATGACATTTTGGTGGTCTGATATTGAGTAAGTCATATTTCACTTCTTATAATGTCACCACTTTATGTTGAATACATGAATACAGGTCATTTGTGTTTGTTTAATTACTTATGAAAGATATGCAGTGACGCAGGATGACATGAATTATTACTTATCTTTTTACATATATTAGAATTGCTGATGTAGCCACCCTCATATTTGTCATTTGGATAAAATGACATTTTCTTGTAATCCGTGTGGCTCAGTCACGAAATGTCCTTTGTCATTTTGTAAGCTAAACTATTATTTATAAATCATGATTGTCAGAGAGTGATCATCTTTTTAAAGTTTCAGTATATACTAGGTATAATCTAGAACTGGTGCTCTTCAACTTCAGTGTAAGGAACAAAAGTTACTTAAATGCAAAGCAGAAAAACTATGGAGAAGAAATGTGCTGAGCATTTATGAATATAACTGTATGAAGCCAATGATATGGCAATTATACATTGAATCTGAGCAGAATATTATTTTAATTTCCGTAGGAATGATTTTGTGTGTAATACAAGAAAAACTATAATATAAGAATTTGAAAATAAAGTAAGTCTCATGACAGAAGTTATGTAATTATCATAATAATTATGGAAGTTCAGATTTATAACACATGCAAAACTATGCAGAAATTTAGAAAAAAAAAAAGGAAACTGTATTTTATGAAATTACTTTTTATGAGATTGTTATATATATATTTTTCCAGTTTAATGAATGAAGTAGTCCACACATCTCCCACGATAGGCAGCAATGTGGAGGAAGTGGTGTGGAAAAATATACATTTTCTAATGTGGGACATTGGGGGTCAGGAGTCCCTTAGATCATCATGGAACACTTATTACACTAATGCTGAGGTGAGTTTTCAGGGAAAGAATAATTCAATTTTACAGGTAAATATTACAGGCGTTTCATCTTTATATGTGGTTATATGTGGCCATTTTTGTAAAGAACTGTATACTATTATATGCTAAAGGTCATTTTTGTTATGTTGGTCATGGCGAAATTGGCCTCAGAGTTGTAATAAAAAAATATCTCATGTACATGAACTCCCACATGTTCCAAGGTTTAATAATTCATGGAAATTAGCGTGTTCTGGATTGCTTATATGGAATTACGTTGTTGGATCAAGACTTAGCTTTAATATTGGAAAAGTCAGATGAGGATAATCCGTGATAGAAATGCAAGTATACAAATGTTGTTCATGTTGGCCAACTTATTGTGATGCACAGACACAGTAGTCGCCACGACCTGAGTTTTGAACATTTCTGTTTTCCACTACATAAATGAGAAGCAGTGTTTCCATTTTGCCTCACATACATTAGATTATTAAGATGATAGATGAATGTAATTAATGTAGAAAGTTTGGACGTCAGTAGAAAAATTGTTTCCTCATGATGAAATAGTTTTTAATGAAGAGAGTACTGAGTACTGCCTCTCCCCCCCCCCACACGTATACACACACACACATCTCTCTCTCTCTCTCTCTCTCTCTCTCTCACACACACACACACACACACACACACACACACACACACACACACTAGTACATGGTTTTTTATTCTACACAAAACTCACCCTAATTCTGGGCCTTCTTTCCCTTTCCCCATTAAATAAATAGTATAGAAGAGTGCAAGCTGTATAGATAGTGCTAGTCACCTCTGGTACTCGGATTCTCAGGGTGAGTGCCCTGGATGAGATCAAATCTAAAAAATCAGGTTATGAAGTAAATATTGGCACTTACAGTTCTGGCAGCTGTTAGCCTGATAAGGCTTATAAAACACAATCGGATTTCACAACCTTATCTGCCAGATTTCCTGGAATATTCGATTCTGGCAGTAGCCAATATGTCCTCTCACACAAAAGATGTTTGATCACCCTGTCCGATGTTTTGTATTTGATAATAAATTGATATGTAAAATTCAATTGGATGCTTCGTATTTATATGACATTGTTATTTTTCAGTTTATTATCCTAGTTGTTGATAGTACAGACAGAGAAAGGTTAACAATCACAAAAGAAGAACTACACAAAATGTTAGCACATGAGGTAAGAATCGGAATAAAATGCCAGGATGGTTCATGATTTTCAAGGACATGTTTTTTTGTTTTTTGTTTTGCATTCCATCTTCTTCATGTTCAGTGCTCTGGAACCCAAGATCCACACTAGAATCCAAATTAAAAATTTTTACTGTAAAAATTAACAGTTAATTAGCAAAAATAATTAAAAGTTTTGTTTGGAATTAGAAATCTCCTAGTCTGAAAAATCACATTCAGTATTTGTCATATGTTTGTGAAACTCTGTGGTTTTGCTTTATAAAAGTGCATTTACTTTATTTGCGAGATTTTTATTTTTTTATCAAGCACCTAGTGGTGTTAAATTTTCTCAATAAATATTTAAAAAAAGAAAAACAGTAGAGCACTGAACTCAAAGACAATGGAATGTAAAATGTCCCTTGAGAAAAAAAAGGACCATCAGGCGACTAATGTATATAATTTATGCAGTACTAACCCTCTGTGTGTCTTGTCTTGTTATGTTACAGGTCGTCATCTACGTTGTGGATAGCGTAGACCAGGAGAGATTATTTACAGCTAAAAAAGAGTTTCATGAAATGTTGGCTAATGAGGTAGGATGGTTTGTACATGGCGGTGGCAGCAGAGGGGATAACATTATTATGTTTTTTTTTTATTCAATCCATTGTTATACATCTTTTATGGTCGGTTATTTCAGATGTTGGCAAACTAAATAAAATGGCTCTCTTCATGTTGGTGGCAGCAGTGGGATCTTATAATTCTGCATTGTTCTATGTATCTTTGGCAAAGCATTGTTTACAGCAACAACAGAATTATTTAAAATGTTTGCTTTCCTGATAGAATTTTGTTTCTTTGTTGATTTTGGTTGTAGCTATGGGAATGTCTTATTTTCTTTGGCAAAGGTGGGATTATATTGATTGTTCTGAATTTTTTCTTCTATCTATATTACCACATAAATAAATTGTTCATCAACCAGAATGGCTCTGTTCATTTCTGTGGGAGGGCTACAGTCTTCTTGTTTCATTGCTTTGTGATGGCTGAAGATTTTGGTTTCAGATTTTGTGACAGGAAGTGCTGTCCATTAAATGCTGGGTCATTGGGAAGGATGTTTTTTCCTATTGTTCTGTTCAAGATATGAAAGTCAATTGAGAAAGTCTGCCCACCCCTTAGGGCCTACCCCACACAAACCCTCCATTCCTGTGGTTGTACAGTGAATACACATTGTTAGATTAGCTCTGAATATGCAGGTTTTTTTTTTTTTTTTGTTTTTTTTTAAGAAGTGCTTAACTACACATGAACTAGTCTGATATCAAAAGACTGAAGAGAATCATGATTGAATTTTGAAAAGCTTATCAGCATGGAGGTGATAATTATGGTTTTTGCAGGGTATACTCTCACTCATGAAATTATAGTGCTTATTACTGTCATTGAAACAAGATTTAAAAAAGGTCTCAGAACACTTGTTACAGTGTGTCGTATCTCACCACATGGTCAAATCAGAATGAATTTGGCATGTGTTAATAGCAAACTGAATGACAGGTGGGTAGTTTTTTTTTTTTTTTACAAGTAAGTGCTTTAAACCATGAATATACATGAACAGATAATGTTTCTGGCAAACTCTTGCTTATTTTGAACAAAATCGATGAACTAGGTTTCCCCAAAACAATGTTTTCTGAATAATTGCTAGATTTTTTTTTATTTTAGAAATCCAGAATAGTAAGTTTTTTTTTTTTTTTTTTTTTTTTTTTTTGCTACTTTCTTTCTGTAATATAAAACATGCCTTCTTGCTATGGATATTTTATCAACCAAAGGCAGCTTTTGAAAGATAAGCAGGAGGGCAACTATTACCCTAAGTTAGTATGAATTTAACACTCGTGCCACCAGGTTGGATTTCAGATTGCTGAGTTGATGGGGTTGTTATCAAAAATCGAACTTAATCGGAAAGTTTTTACGCTCAAGGTCAGCAGGGAGGGGGTTACTATGACACAGGGGCAGGGTTCAGACACTCAAAAAGTTCTGCAATGGCAGAGAGTCCTGAATCTCTCATTGACTTCTTTTTGAAATGCCTGATTTCTTTAGCAAAAAGATGCATCTGATATAGTTCAGCTTTCATGTCAATAACAGAATCTGTTACAACAACAACACAGAGATTAAATCATGTATTTATTTCAATGGGATTTAACTGATAATGACATGGGATCAGAGAGGAAACACTTGAGTAGGATCTTCAACAGATTAACTGTGAAAAGAAATAGAATGGCCGATGAAGTGGTCTCACCTGTCTGAGCACTGTATAGAACACAAGTGTATTAGCAACAGCATCTTTAGCATCCTTTATCTGCACCATGATGACATTTTTTAAAAGCACACTTAAAAAACAATGTGCATAGTTTACATAGAATCATATAAGAGTGAGGGGGTTTTATCCCTAAAGGAAATAGGTTGTATTTTTGAGAAATGTTGAATGTGCATAGTTGATATAAAATCATATAAGAGTGAGTTTTTTTTTTAATCCCAAAAGGAAATAAGTTTTAATTTTGAGAAATGTAGTGGAGAATGTTTTATTGTTTGTCTTTTGAAAACTCAGAATGGGAGTAGAAATAAATCCCAAGTTCTACCTGAAATACAGGCGCCCTGATCAAATTCTGCCATCGCCATCAGAAACCTAGAGTGGTCTTGACTACAGATCTCCTCTGAGAAAAGTTCATTTTTCAGCCTGACTAATACATTTAAGGGCAGTAACGCTTTGTTTTCAAACATACATCTGTAGCTTGGTTATTTTCCAGGAAAAGTTAATCAGGGGTTAACTTGTGTTGCCATAGTGACAGCAGCTAAGTAAATGTAAATTGACACTTGTCCAGTTACTTGAGATGTAATTGATTATTGTTGTTGTTGTTGTTGGAAAGAATAGACAAGAGGTGTAAATGATCTGGAATAAAGTAGCTCAAAAGATGTTGTTATATAGTTGGGTGATAGTTTGATACTTGGTGATTTTACACATGCATGTGCACACACACCCACACATGTATCAGTGTATGTGTCTGTAATTCATAACATGCGCTGTGTATCATGCATAACATACATCGTGCATAAGATACAATTGTTATTTATGTACTTTCATAGTGCAGTTTAAAATATGATATTCAACTTTTTTTTAATTGACAAAACATGTAAATTGGATATATTCACAAGTCACGTGTACTGGAATTGTTTTTATGTTTTAAAATGTGAAAAATATTAGAACTTCCAGGTTTCATGTAGTGCAAATGTATTTCTGAATGCACTTTAGTTTGATGTAATTTTGAACTAGAAAGCTTTTAAGTGGCACATTCCTGCATTCATGTCTTATCTTTCTTCCAGAAATTAAATAAGTATACTAGTACACCAATCAGCAATTTGTCAGTATCTGTTGTATTCAGCTGTATGAAATTAAATGAATGTTAAGATGAAAGTAGAAATAACAAGTAACAAATAAGAAGTTGAACAAACGTGAACTGGCAGGTAATTGGGACAGTCATTTCTGATCTCTCCTTTCAGAATCTCAACAAGTCGGTATTGATATTTGTCCCACGGCTGGTGCTCAGAAAAAAAAAAAGATGATTGAACTAAGTCTTGTATTTTACTTCACCTGTATTCCAATATGCTTCAGTGGGCTCCAAACAAAACATCCTTTTCTTCAAAGTGCCAGGTGTGGGAGAAATCAGTTATAACTACTAGTTGTCAACTTAATGCCACATACAAGATCCTAATTATATCTGGGCTGCATCTCAGTATAATTACTCTATTGTATGTCGCATACAGCGGACGACTGGTGTTGTGACCACTATATCATACATTAATATTATATAAGTTAACTAAACATGAACCAGCCAAATTTTACAGATGATAGTCACTTTCATATTTTATCTTGCAGGATCTCAAGAAGTCAGCAGTATTAATATACGCTAACAAGCAAGACGTAAAAGGTGCCATGTCGTCAGCAGAGATCTCGCGCCAGTTAAATCTTACCTCCATTAAGGACCACAGTTGGAACATACAGGCTTGCTGTGCATTAACGGGAGAGGGGTAGGTGGTGCCGACAACATTTTTGTCCCCTTACGTTATAAAGTTACGCTGTCTTAAGGACCATTCCCAGACCCTATCGTACTAAATGTGGATCGATTTATCCCAAAGCGGAGTCTTACTAAATTACAATCAACTTAATCAGCTTAGATGTCTGTCATGCCTACTGAAGCTGCTAAAGGGAAATTTATTATCGTTTAGCAGCTTAAGTTAGCGTGCCAGACATCTGAGTCGCTTAAGCTGATAGCAATTTAGCAAGAAACCCCTTGGAGATGGATCGATCCTGTAAGATCAATCTAGGTATGGGAACCCAATCTTATAATGCTAATGGACCAGCAACCCTTTATTTGACATGACTGGTATTGAAAGGTCTTGAAGCAAAGACTACAATAGGAGTCTTACATTTAGACTTGCTTTCAGTCCAGAACTTCTTTTATAAATTTGGCCCCAGTCTTTACATGAGCCGGTCTATATTATTGGATTTTTTCTTCTTCTTCTAACATTTTACAAACCAAGGCACACACAGCCCATTGGAGGGATTTTTGAATTTTTGTGTGTATTAATGGTTATCAAAATATGCATCATTTTACAAGTTTGTCAGTGTATTATACTTAGGGACCATTCCCACAGATATTTGGATCGATCTATCTCCCTGGGGAGTCTCACTAAATTGCTATCAAACTAGTAAAACTGTTAGGAGGTAATTATCTTTACCCCTAGCTGATTTGGTAGGCATGAACCCCCAGGGAGTTAGGTCGATCCAGATGGATTGATCTAAGTATGGAAACCCAGTCTAAGGTTCTTACAACCCACAGCATTTATTACTTTAGAACTTTTATCTTTTTCCAAATCTTGAATTTTTTTTGGTGAAAACTTCACACAAAATAGCTATTGTTCCAACAGTTATTATCATGCATGATATAAATCTGGCATGGGAAGAAGGGTGTTAAAGGCAGGAAGGTAGTGCATTATCTTTGATTCATAAATTTTCAAAATAAAGTTCTGTTCCCTTTGAAATATTGGAATATTTTTGATACTGAGCCTAAATCTTATGAGCTTCTTATTATAAAAGGGTATTAATTTTCCATCAAATACTGGGTTATGTTTTGCCAGTCTTCAGCAAATTAGTATGTGTTGTGTGAGAAGGAGCAAGGAGTCATTAAAATCCCACGACTTCTCTTAACTTTCTTAATATCAAGATTTTTTGCTGCTGTAATTATATGATGCTCGATTAAAAAAAAAAAAAAAAGAAAGAAAGAAATTATCATCAGGTTTAACACTTAGGGATTTGATTCATAATGTTAGAATTATTGAAAGTAAACATTAATACATGGACCGTCACTTGTTAGTGTTCAAGTGTGAAGTTTTGAAGCCCACCTGTCATTTTGACGCAGAGATTTTACTTCTTAAATGAAGACGTGTTCCAGAGATTAAAAAGCACATTAAATTGAAAGCTGAACTGCATGCTAGGCCAATTTAAGTGGAAGTTAAATACCACTCCAGTCTAAGATTATCTCTTGTTTTTCTTTTCAGTTTATATCAAGGACTAGAATGGATTGCCAACACCTTGAAGAAGAGGTGATCAAGATTGTGTTAGAGAAAACTGAATATTGTTACTGAATTTCCCTCCTCCACCACAATACTGCCGTCACAGGGGCATTATAGGAATAAACATTATTTATTAGGAAAACACTGTTGACAAGTGTGCCTGTGATTTTGGTGAAAAAATGGGGGAAAGAATATGTGACTGGAAATAATGCAGACGTTGGTGAAAAATGAGAAAAACTTGCCTGGAAATAACATGGATGTAGGATAAAATTGAAGTGTTTGCCTACGAATGACAGGAATCTTGGTGAAAAACAGGAAAATGTGCCTGAGAGGAACAGGTTTGCCTTGCAACTCTAAAATTTTTCTCCACGTGAAGTTAGAAATGTCCAGGAAATATGATAAAAAAATGGCTGGATTTATTGTGTGTGGCACAGGGCATGCCTGGAAAACAATCTCTGGATTATTTCTCGAAGTTTGACTGAATTACTGAAGTATTCCTGTACCAGATTGGAAAGAAAAGAGAGAAATGTGTGCAGGAATGTTTGACTTTCGTAACGGAATCTTGGACTGGGAAATTCCCCCTTGTCTGCCAAGGAAGTTTTATACACGGAGAAACGGAAATTCATAACGTCCATGTTGACTGATTCCTGCTACAACAAAACATTACAGAATCTTTAAAAGATTTTACTTGAGAAATATGACAATCTTCTTGAAGTTACAGTAACAACAATTTTATGTAGAATTGGATGCAACAGAATCAGTATCACTATGATCAAAATGTATTTACAGCGAGTTTTTGATTGCTAAAAACCGAGAACTGTTTCAAAATATGTGGACTGCAAATGCTGTCATGACTACAGAGGATGCAGCGATAACAGTTTCTGGTCTTATGTTGATTTTTCAGCAGAGAAATTTAGAGTAACAGTCCTGAATGTTATTTTTAAGTCATGTGACCTACCGCTGTTATAATATATGTAAAATTTATGGATTTATTAACTGCCATCCATCAGCTCACACACTAATTCTATTATTTATACCACGTGAAAATGAAAAATAGTTCAGAAGAAATGGAAGTAATACATCCCAGTAATGGAAGTAATAAATCCCATGTGATTGACTTTCCAAAACCTGGAAAAGATCCCTACATGGGTTCGAATTGCTTCAACTCAATAGGAATGTGATATATTTGAAAACATTGCCACTGAGGTCACATGGGCATTGTACAGATTTTATTTTTCGAGGAGATGAATAGAAATTTTAAAATAAAAATAGTATGTGTAAATTCTTTGGGGGAAGCAGGCTGGCATAGATCAAGGTTTCTTTGTCAACCATGCGGAAGGAAGAAATCGGCAGACAGTGAACTACAGAAATTTTATAAAAGTATTTTAATGTTGTGCTGGAAATTATCTGATTACTTTGATATCAAATACAACCATTTAAACAGGGGTTCTGTGAGCACATCTGTCAGACTGAAAATATATAATTAAACAAAGTTTTAAATTACTTCTACGTCACAGTTTTTCATAAGAATGAAAAGATCTGTTTCTTACTTTTAAGACTGGTAGTCGAGGAACAGATATGAAGCCATCTTTATATCACAGCGCTTGTTCCTTTAATAGAAAGTCAGACGTATTTTCTTATTAATTTGCAGTTCAATCCATTTGATGACTATTCTACTTTAGCCAGTATATGGTGTTTTCTGAAAACATTTAAAACAAACATTATTCCAACTGACACAAGCTTGATATGAGAACTTTTGGCCTTTACCAATACTTTATTTCAGTCTGACACAGAGAGGTATTAATGACATCTGTTCTCATTGTGAAAATCGATGATGAGGTTATGCCAAGTGTTTCTGATAAAAAATGTTTTCAAATTCATTTAATACAAGTGGAAGCCTTCAGGTTCCAAGGTAAAAGGCATCAAGTCGTCTGCTCAGCGTAAATTCTAGTCATCAAGATACATGTGTACATAATTACCATTGATTTAGGTTGATATCTATAACTATTACTGCAGTTCTGTTTGACAACTGAACTGTTACAAAGCCCTGGAAGTATTCTGTGCGCTATTATTACTCTTTTAGTTCAAAATTGTAAGTAGGTTGTCACACAAACATATACCATAAACCGTTTTGTTAATTCTGTCTGCAAAAGGTGTAGAAATTCTGAAAAAAAAAACTAAGTTGCGCTCCTGTTAAGAATGTATTATGGTGAAAATCAAAATGCAAAAACTATGAATAAAAAAGATATCAGAATAAGTGAGTTGTTTGAATTGTGTGAAGAAATACTGTAAAGCATATATTGAGCAGAACATCATGTATAATTCAGTATTTTTTTATCAATTGTATTTCAATGTAATTTTAGAAACGTAAATTTAGGTAGATAGCATAAAAGCTACATAATTTTATCATTAGATTTGTATCTGTTTCTGCATGTCTTCATTTTCTTGGAATAGTTCTATGTTCTGTACCATTTGCTGTAAAGTGTGTTGTAAAAGAAGCACACACTAATCAGACTTCATGCATCTTAATTTAAAACTGGAATAGGTTTATAATATAAGATGATGCACTATATCCGGTATACAGGGTAAATGGTTTAATGCCTTTTAGTAGATTATTTCTTTATTTACCTCAATGTCAAAGATTCTCAAAAGAGCTACATTCTGAAAGTGAAATGTGTAGATTAATATAGATAGTGGCCCTGAAAAGGGTCATTCCTGTCCTAAACAGAAAAGGACAGGTGTCAGTAAGGAAAGAGGGCTGTTGTCATAGTGTGAGAATCTTACAAGGACTGCTTGAACATTTCTTTACTTACAGTAATTAGTCAAAGAAGACTAAAAAGTTACATATTGGTTGTCAGCTAGTAAAAATGACTATCTAGATTTTAATAACTTGAAGGTGCCAAATAGTCAATATATTACTTGGTTTCTCTGCAAACAGACATCCTAACAGTAAATACATGGGAGAGTATGAATAATGGCCCTGAAAAGGGCAACCCTTTCATGGCATAAACAAGGCAGATTTCAATTAAAATTTTCAACATTTGGTTTGAAGTTTGAAAACGGTTACTGTAGATCTTGTTTTGAAGCAAATACACCTTAGGTTTTCAGTATTATGCTGTTGGAATGAAAGGTATAGAAATACTCCTGTTACCTACTGTTGTCTGTATCACAAACTGTATATATTGATATAACATTACATTATCATTAAAGACTGAAAATATGGTTATCACGTTTTGTCTTGTGTGCATTTTATATTCTCAAAGAATCAGATATTTTCTTCGTGGCCACGACTTCTTCTAGATCTCTCTTCCCTAGGCCTCTCTCTCTCTTTGATTTCCTGACTGTCTAATTGATCACGATGGAATACATGCAAACAATGTGAATGTCAGGCCCGTAGCCAGCAGTTGCAAAAGGAGGGTTGTGTGTGTGAAAATGCGGACCTTTTGTCGGCAAACCTTAGTTTACCGAGATAAAATTTACCTCGAGTGGACCTTTTCCTAGCAAAAAGGGAGGTTCTTTTGTACCATGGCCCATAGGAGCCTACGCGTGCGTCTTTTAGACGCCCCTTTACATGAGAAAACGACAAGGCCTTTGCCGAGTTCGTCTTTTACTACAGAGCTTTGAGAGCCGAAAATGGCATGGCTGTGTCTCTTTCGCCACTTACTGAACTCCACAGATGCGAGATTGACACGACCCATGTCGCGTTCGTCTCTCAAATGACACTGTTATAAAACATGAAATAGGCATAACGTGTGATTCTCGCAGCTGAATAAGTAGACCCTTATAAACGAAGTTGACGTAACTTGAGAGTCATGTCGCTTTCAACTCTTACAAACCTCCAACAAAATCTATCTCCACACAGACGCGCGCGACATGTACTATTGGACATGGGTCAGTTGAAACCCTATTAACCTAAAGGGCTCATGTTACTTTCAGCCAACTCTTATATGTCAAATCCAATTAATTTGAAACAGTGTTGTGCTGTCCCAAAACATTTTTTTCATTTGAATCCCATCATAATTTAGTGCTATCTAGATAACAGTGTGGCTAATTGCTTGTAATAATTATATGGCCTCATATTTTTATTTTCAAGGATTCAAATATAAAGGGTTTTAAGACGGTCCTTCTGTTTCAAATTAATTGGCTGAAAGTAACATGAGCCATTTAGGTTAATGTCGCTTTCAACTGACCCATGTCCAATAGTACATGTCGCGCGCGTCTGTGTGGAGATAGATTTTGTTGGAGGTTTGTAAAAGTTGAAAGCGACATGACTCTAAGGTCACGTCAACTTCGTTTATAAGGGTCTACTTATTCAGCTGCGAAAATCACACGTAATGCCTATTTCATGTTTCATAACAATGTCTTTTGAGAGACAAACGCAACATGGGTCGTGTTAATCTCGCATCTCTGGAGTTCAGTAAGTGGCGAAAGAGACACAGCCATGCCATTTTCGGCTCTCAAAGCTCTGTAGTAAAAGACGAACTCGGCATTGGCCTTGTCGTTTTCGCATGTAAAGGGGCGTCTAAAAGACGCACGCGTAGGCTCCTATGGGCCATGGTACTTTTGAACCTCCGAACACCTCCCCGGGCTACGGGCCTGAATGCCCTCAAAAGATATCAAAACCATACCCAGTACCACAAATACATACGTTGACCGATAAAGGAGAGGCAAAATACATATTTAAGTGATTATTTTATTCGCCAGAAAGTTATATATTACGTCTGTGTTATCAGCTCTGAACCCTGATTCAAAAGTTGACGTCATAATTGCTTACATTGCATTAGCTGTGATTGTGCTGTTATCCCTGAGACACTCGATAAAGACGCCTTTTTTTGGGCGAATAGAAATAGGTATTCCTGAATCATTTTCAACTACCAGAGCATTTTACTAACAGTAGGAAGCAAAGTCATTTTATTGTTATCCCCTTCCTTGCTCTCTCTCTCTCTCCCTTTCTCTGTGTGCGCGCGCGTGCTTGCGTGTGAGCGTGTCAATAACAGTCTCCACTACCACGCACACCGCTGATGGCGTTTTGCATAAGATGATTGCTTTTCTCGTGGTGTAATGACTGTAATCGCGATGACTGTTGGAAGCTTTAAGTTGGGTAGACCGTAGGCCCACAGAAAATGCACCCACAGTCTGACATTGTGTTAGGTGCGACAGACCTTGCTTGAAAGAGCAATTAAAAAACAAGGCAGCAAAGCTGTCAAATGTACAGACAAAAACAGAAAATAAAAATGCAGAAAATGGTTCATTTTGTCAATTTTGATGCCATAAATCATGCCTATAATAGCACTGTCAATCAACACTGAATTTTAATCATGCACAACAGGTGACATCGTCAATCACAGGAGCGGATCCAGAGATATTTTCTGACAGTATTCCAAATTATCTTTGTTGATCCATCCTACATTTTTGATGGTCTTCCAACAGAAAAAACAGATACCCATCAATGTGAACTTAAAAATCTGAAAGACCCAGAAGACGGCCTCAATCCGCCCCTGCAATAAGATTACAGTTTCAGGACCATGAGAGTTCAAATTCACATAATGAAAATCCCAATATTTGAATAATGATGACAGTGCATAAAATAATATTACATGTTTAAAGACATAAAAACCAATGCAACTGCTTATGTGGAAATACAGAAAATGTGAAGAGCTTCAGGTGGATGGGAGCTGAAAATGCTAGAGTTTGAAAAATAAATTAAAAAGAAAACACAACAAAAATATCCCATTAAAGCTGCTATTCAAACTTTTAATCTTGCTGAAATAACATGATATGAATAACCCCAATGTGTTTGAGGATAATATGCCCCTGTTATTCATCTATTTTTTTTTCTTTTGGTAACTTATTTGCAATATTAAACAACATTTACCTGCATAATTTTCACTGATTCCTAATTATGTGACACAGTTAAGAGAGCTAAACCTATGTGACTTTACTGGGAAGTCTCAATGTGTGTTTTATGTAATCTTATTTAATGGGCACTTGGAAATTAATTAGGCAAATGATTTTATAGCTCTGAATTTAGCTTGTGACTACCCCAAGGGACAATTACCACCATCCATAAACAGTAGCCCCATATAGCACTCTATAGAGCTGCATTGCTTCCAAAACAGAAAACAATCATACTGATTTTCCAACACAAACTGCACGTCAGTCTTACGAAACTTTTCAGTAAGTTTGAGTATCATAAGTAACATGGTTTTTCCTTAATGGTCATTCCGGCAGCCATTTCCAAAATAGGGTTTTCTTCAACTTTTATGCAATATTACATAATGACCATCAATTTTTAATAATAAAATAAAAATATCATGGATATACAGAAAATGTGACATGGAAAGGTCTTCAAGACCATGGAAGTTCAGAGTCACACTTTCAAAATGCCAAAATGTAAACATAACTGTATTGAATTGATTTTCTTTTCATTTTCACCTTTTTTTTCATATAACAAAATAATCAATTTACTGTCATTTTTAAATGAACAACTAAGAAAATTGTTGACATAGAAAAATATAAATAGAACAATTTTAAATGTCCAGTTTGCTCCAATCTGAGATTCTGAACATGGTGAATGATTGAATCTGACAAACTGTAAAGATATGAGTTTATTATTATTTCCATTTTTTGACACTTTATTACATAATACACAAATACAGGTTTACCATCTTTTTTATATAATCAACTAACAATATTGTTAAGATGCAGAAAATGTCAAAAGAACACCTTTACATATTTAATTAGTTCACAGATGAGATTGTTAACATGCCTAAGAATTAAACAAAGGAAAAAATCACTTATATACAAATAAGGCATAACCTCATCAATACTGAACCAATCGAGCTTATTTTCGAACCCCATCTGTATTTCAGTAAGACTGATCACCCCTGTAAATTTCAAGACAATTGGCCAATTGATTTTCCTTGAAATGTGTTATCGGTATTGCATACATGCTGAAAAAAAAGTGAAAAAAAAACAGCATAACTTCCATAAAATTGGTCCGATCATGCAGATTTTCAAACTTGACCTGTGCAATATGGATATTCATCAGTTCTGTAAGTTTCAAGCCAAAAGGTAAAACGAGTTTTCACTTATCGTGTTATCAGTGTTGCATACATGCTTTAAAAAAATGAAAAAATAGCATAACTTACATAAAAATGGCCCGATCATGCTGATTTTCGAACTTGACCTGTGTATTATGAATTTTCATTAGTTCTGTAAGTTTCAAGCTAAAAGGTAAAACGGTTTTTCACTAATCGTGTTATCGGTGTTATAAAAATGATGAAAAAAGTAAAAAAAAAAACTGCATAACTTCCATGAAAATGGCCTGATCATGCTGATTTTCGAACTTGACCTGCGTATCATGAATATTCATTTGTTCCGTAAGTTTCAAGCCAAAAGGTAAAACGGTTTTTCACTTATCGTGTTATCGGTGGTCAAAGTGCACGGCGACGACGACAGACGCAGGTGATGGCTATATGTACAGACACATCTGTGTCTGTACATAAAAAGATTGTGATTTGTTGCGAACGGACAGCAAGTAAAGGTAGAATTATGCCAGGAAATAAATTTGTCTCTGTCCTAATATTTTGGTAATGCTTAATCACAGTTTCCAAGTTTAAATCATGTCTTTTCTTAAGTATTCTGTTAAGAATTGAAATATTGCATGATTTCCTATACCCATATTACAGGTCACATCAATAAATTAATGAAAACAAACAATCAAGAAAATGACAAATTAATAAATTAATTCATCAATTAATTAAGTAATGGCGGTGTTTAAATCACAGTTATTTAGAGGGAAGATCGTCCGCTGGTGGTACGGTCGAGGCTTGAGGCTGTACCTATGGGACGTTTGGGCTCTGTTTTTAGAAAGATCTCAGTGTATATTAATCATGTATTTATGTTATTAATGTATCCACTGGAAGAAGCCTGTCTGTTCCACCTCCCACTGTAACGTCTTCCTGGTAGCGGCGTCCAGGCGGATCATAGGTGCACGTGGCGGTCCCATGTCCAAGCCAATCATTAACATGATTTCCTTAAACACGCTGACATTTCCCGCTGTAAAGTAAAACGTTTCAAATTAAAATAGACTTATTATTTTTCTTAAGACATTCTAAAGAACAAATAAATAAAGGAATAGATTTAGAAAACAAAAGTAATGGATAATACCTTCTTTCCCATAGCGCAGTGCAGTATTGATGAGTGCCTGTGCCCTATACTGTTCCTTCCTGGCAGTGTCCAGATCACAGTGCTCTAGAGCGACAATCATCCTCTGGAACGGCCGAGGCATGAAATTGTATGTAGTTCCTATGGCTGAGTCCATACCCACTGCCAGGGCAGACAGTAATTGCTGAAATATGATTATGTATATTAATTAATTTACTTAATTCCTTATAGATTTCCTTTTTTCTTTTCACTACATAGAATATGCCTACATGTATGTTGATTCAGTTAAACATTTTAAACCTGATGATATTATTACCATCATAATGAATTGGAGTTGTCGAAAGAGGAGGAAAAATATTTGTTACTAACCATTTTCTTTATTTTTAATTTCCTTAGATCTTTTTACATATTTTGGTGTTTGTTTATTCATTTTTATTTCACTCGTTTTTTAATTTATTTTTGTGCTGATTTTAGCTATTATAATTATTCCCTTGTCTCTTTTTTACTTTGGAAGTGCCTTTTCCGCTCCAGTAACTCCTACCTCGTCTGCGCCAAAAAGAATCTTATATTTTTTGCCGTCCATGAGGAGACACTGGGTGGCGTCCATCATGTTTTTACCTGAGTACTTTATGCCACACAGGGTGGGGATCTCCGGGCCAGCGGCCTGCAGAAAGTCTTCCATGTTTACTAGTAAAAAAGACATTTTTTTAAAGGCAGACGATGCCACTTAGACCTACTCTTTGACCTGACATCAAGTCATGCAAAAACTCTCGAACAGAAATGTGTATCTGTGAAAATATCTAGTGAAAAAACAATCTGTGTCCCGAAAGCAATTTCACATTAGCATCCAGGGCATGTTGGACAGCGTGGACCCATTACAGAACTATCTGTGCGTGCCCACGATCGCGAGCGCACGCGTGTGCGTGTGCGTGTGTCTGTGTGTGTGTGAGAGAGAGAGAGAGAGAGAGATGGGTTTGGGTGGCTTACGTTCAACTCCAGTCATTCCAGGTATGTGGTAGTAGAAGAACGGTAACGAGGGAGCTGCTGACGCCACCTCCTTGCAGAAATAGACAAGTTGTTCTGAATAATAATAATAATAATAATAATAATAATAATAATATATTGTTTACTCTTCTTTGAATTACTTACCAAGATTGGTTGTAAATACATCTTATGTGGTCGTACCGGCTATATAAGTCGACTTGAACATAGAGACTATTTTTAATTCTTCTGAATTGAATTCATAACCACGTTTAATCGTTTTAAGTGTAGAAAAAATGCAAATAAAATCTTAATTTCAAAACTAAAAATATTTGATCGTTTCTATCTCTAATTATTCTAGATGGTATTTAACCATGCTAATTGTTCTGAAGTGTAACATAGAATGACAAATAAAAAGTATCACTGAACCATATACAAGTTTCACTTTCGTTTTCAGAAATGGCTGTGAGACAGATGGTGTCACTCACTGATATTACGAGGTTTAAAATACACAGGCGGCATTATAGAGATGGCGTCTGCTTTAATACTCTCGGCGTGGTCAGCGAGGTCCTTAGTGTCCTTCAGGTTGTCTGTGCCCACGTGGATCAATATATTCTTTAACCTGGAGAGGTCAGTGAGGTAGAATTAAGCTGGACAAACAGAAATATGTATTAAATGATAATAAACTTTTTGCCATTCATTTTGTCAAATTAAAATATGAGTGAAGCAATAAATCCACATTTGTCTGTAGTCTACGGTTTATTTTTAGGTTATTTCTTTTTTTCTTTTTACGCATTTCAATTTTTTATTCTGTTGACTTTCTTGGTCCTAAACCTATACCACCACCCTACCCTACCCTACCCCAGCTGCCTCTAAAATAACCAAAAAATAACCAAGGTACTCTTAACACACCTTCCCCGTCCAGAATCAATCCACGCCTCCGCTATAAGCTTTCTTTCCTCTACGGTTAAAAGAGTTGATTCACCGGTCGTTCCATTAACTAATAATAATAATAATAATAATAATAATAATAATAATAATAATAATAACAATAGTGAGAGCTAAAAACGCAGTTATGCGCATTTCAATGTCCTAACTTTATGGGAATCATTATCATTTCTCTTCTTATTATATCTTGTTAACTTTCCATTTAACTGTTTCATTTAACTTTATTATTTCATGATAGTTAGCATTCTCAGAAGATCTTGAAAAAAGTGAAAAAAAATCACGCGTCGGAGTGAACATTAAAAGATGGTCATAAAATTATAAGTTTGGGGTTGAGTGGATAAGAACACTGACTACTCACTAAAAACATTCTCTACTTGCTGACCAACCAGGTGATCCACGTACTTCGGGATCATGTCATAATTTACTTCGCTGCAATAAGAGAAATAATGATTATAATAATAAATATTATAATACATTTTTACAAGTGCATTTTAAACCGACTCTGACCAAGTATTTTAGTACAGATATATATTTTTAACATAGTTAGGATACGTTACGATACGATACGATCCGATCCGATACATATAATACTTGTCTTGTAGCCTATCATCGGCCTGTCACACAACAGGCCTAGGACATATGTGAACTCTACTCACCCGTCAGGTGTGAAAGGTGTAAAGACGGCTGCACACAACCCCGTCAGTCGCTTCTGAAAAAACATCACAATTTTTATACTAATGTGAGACTGAAACTAATTATGAAGTTCCGTTTATTATAACTCTACCACATCGGTCTGAATTCCATGATTTTAACACATGCATTTTTACAGTTCAAAAATTGGGATCAGTTTTCTTGTCCTTTGGAGTTTTCTTTCGAGCTAAACTACAAATTTTTAAACCGCATTTTTTTTTTTTTTTTACATCAAAGAGGAATTTAATCTTGTTTTTCTAACGTACATTTTACAAAGTCTGTCTAGAACTGAATATCTTAGACCATCAAATCCGGTGCGCTACACTTTTACCTAGCATTTCAACTAGTTCAACGCAGGACTGATCTAGAGTCATCCCTTGTTGCAATTTGGACTGATTTTCGGGTTAAGTTCAATTCAATTTCAATTCAATTTATTTCTGTACTGGTACATAGATTGTCATGACCTTGTACAATATGATATACAAATGACGATACAATACAGTTAGTGCATTACCATCTTTATATAATGAACATAAGTACTAGTAAAATTACTCATAAAATATTCTATCTAAGCAATGAGATAAACCTTGGTGTGATTATAAATTTACCATAAACATACTATAAACATGTTACACAAAAAGAATATGTTTTTAAAAAACTTAAAACCACCGTTACATAGCTGTTTACATGGCTGTTCAAGGCCAGTTTGATGACATTGATAATTACGATTAATGACAATTACATAAGACAGATAAGTAAATAAGTTACACAGATATAAATATTGTGCCATGTTCAGTCCCACTGCCGAGTCACTTCTCACAACAGTGGGACCATACACTGACATTTTAAGGGATATGCTAAGAGTTACCAAGCAGAGCAACCACTTCACTTCTTTTCTTGAATGATTTGATTATAAAGTTGGAGAGGGACACTAAAGTATCTTTGTTGGCACTGTTAAATACATGGCATAATTGACTGTCTGGTGACCTTGAATCAGCTTTTAGGAATGAGGTTTTACTGAAAAAGGTGACTCGGTCTGTTTTGTACATTGGGCATTGGAATATAAAATGGTATTCATCCTCAATTACCCCTTGTGTGCACAGGCGACAGATTCTGTCGCACCTTTCAGTTTTTGGCCTGGTGTGCCGCCCAGTTTCGATGTGGAGTTTATGGTCACT